TACAATAAAGGGAAAGGTTGAGGATAGGGACTTGTTACATGCACTTCTTCAAACAAGAAGAATGTTATGGTGCATGGGGTACAACTCTCACAAGAAAGTACATCATGCCTTGAACGTCTCTTCGACAGGGATGAGATCCAAGCTACAGTATTTGACCTAGGTCGAGACAAGGGCCTAGGCCCTAGCAATTTCCTAATGGCCTTCTTCTTCTAAGAATTTTGGGACATTGTGAAGTTCAAGCACAGTAAAATATTCCTATGAGTTTTGTTATAGAGGAAAGGTTAATGAGGCTATGAAATCTTCATTTTTGCCTAATTGAAAAAAATAGGGTTGAAAGCCTAGAAGATTTCATTTCCTCCCCATAAATAACCAGTGGCGAAAAATCTCCATAGAATGTTATATGGGGTGAATAGTTGGATCTTCTCTTAGCCCGCCCCTATTGGACTATTAGTATTGCGTTTACAAAACTCAGATGATACCTTAATCTTTTGAGATGCTTTAAAGAGGGAGATGCGAAACTTGTCAGTTTAGGATGTTATATGGGGTGAATAGTTGGACATTCTCTTAGGTTTCAAGCTTGCACCTATTAGACTATTAATACTGATTTGCAGATGATACTTTAATCTTTTATGATGTTTTAAAGAGGGAGATGCAAAACTTGTCAGTTTTGCTTCAGTCTTTGAGGTGACCTCTAAGCTAAGGGTGAATTTATAGTAAAACCAATCGTATGGGGGTAGTACTTGGAAGTGGTTAAGATTAAGGACCCCGGCAAGTTGCAAAGTTCTTACCTCGGAAACAAAATACATTGGGCTTCCATGAACAAATTCAAAACTTCACAAATTCCACAAATAATAATAATGCATGGAATACCAAATATAGCTCCCTTGTGTGGTAGAATTACCTTTATCATATTGTATTTTTTAATTTGCAAGGAAATCTTTCTTACTTCCCCTACTGTATGGAAGTAATATACTTCTCCCGCCATCTTACTCTCCAATTTAGATCAAGTGACCCACTGATCATTTGATTTAGATCTGACACCTCCAAGTAATTTTTATTTTGTATACAAATTATATGAATATGAAATTTGATAGATGCTGTCATCTCAATGGGGCGCACCTAAAAAAAAAATTTAAAAAATATTTTTGACACAAATAAAAATGCCAAAATACCTTTAGAAATTTTAGGGGTATTTTTATCATTTTATTTTCTCGAAAATATTTTTTTATATTTTTGCAGGAGCGAGTTTAAGAGAGGAGTGGATGCCCAAAGTTTGGTAGCAAAATATTTTGTAGAAAAAAATTTAAAATTAAAATAGTTTAGAGGCACGATATTGTGATTGGGTCTATCTCAACTGTCCATTCAGAGTGAACGGCTGGATCGGGAAAAATATATAATGTCTATACAATAGGGGAACTATAAAAAGCTTCCCTTAATTTGCATGTTTACTATATGTCTCTTATCCCAATCATTGCCTCTTTAATTAAATGCATCAATGAAGATGATCCCTAGACACAAAGGCCTCCCTGTTTAGTAGGCCTTTGTGTGCAGCTTAAAGAGAGAAGGGGGACTCGAGCTAAGGCCATGGTCAATGAATTATGCATTGTTTGGTAAGTGATGGTGGAGCTAAGGCTATGGTCAATAAATTATGCATTGTTTGCTAAGTGGTGGTGGAGACTAGGTGCTGAAGTCATTATATTCAGAAGGTCATCCTAACTGATGTTGTTGTTGGTGAATGCTGCACATGGCCAGACATCCAAAGTCTGTTTTTGCTTACCTTATCGCCTATTGGAACTATCCTAAGTTCCATTAAATATATGCATTCCAAATTCCATCATTTCTTATCGTACCACGAATCCATCTCAATATCTTCATCTTAGACACACTCACTCTATGAAAATATTATTTCTTGATTGCACTACATTCTATCCCATGGATAGAACATTTATATGTAGTATGAAAAGAAAAGCTACCCTACGTGTTATATAAATAGTGTTTTCTAAATAAACATAGATAAGGAGATATAAGGGGGGGCATTTCTATTTTCAAACTTCAGTGAAGGAAAAACATAAAATGGATGGCAAAGGAAATGAGAGACTTAACCAGAAAAACTTTTGGTGCTTGACAACGAAAGTTCCAAATAATTGTAGTAGTTCCTAGTTCAACCGGGAATTGGAAATCACTACAGTAGGAGGGCTAAGCTTGAAGCACGCACTCCTCGAAATTGAGAGGCAAAGGCTTACACCTCCCCTGATGGACAGGAGATGCAAGGGCTTCCACCTCTCACACTTTTTTTTTTGGATGGGTATGCTATTTTTAATTTTTTTTGTCTATACTTTTGTTTTTTATTTTTTTTCTAAAATTCAAATCTAAATGAAAATTAGGGGGATTGTAGCCTCAATGGGCCATATCTATTAAAAATATAAAAAATCATTGAATAAAATAAAATAATCAAAATACCATTCAAAGTTTCAACGATACACTTCATTTTTTTGAAAAATAATTTTTTTGGAGGCTTGTGAGGGCTAGAAGAATAAATGTCTCAAATTCCAACTTATTAGCGTGTACATAATGGAAGACAAAATTCAAATACTTAGACATGGTCTTAACCTCCAACAACTGTTTCATGAAGATCAGATTGTTGAAATCAATCTCATTTCAAGTGAACTGCAATATAGGCTAATTGATATTTTTTTAAAAAAAATATTAGCCTCATCTTCATCAATCTTTATTTTTTCTTAATATCGGATCAAGATGAAATTCAGTCTATGTGTGCGCTCATTCGGGCTCATTTGGATAAACTATCAGAAAATAATTCAAGTGAAATAAAATAAACAAAAGACCCTCTAAGTTTAGAAAGAGCATTCAAAGAGACCAATTGTTTTTAGTACAAAGCGGTCACAATCACTACTGTCTATCAGATTGCAAATCAGGTAGTTATAAGAGTGCCATGGACCAGATCCAAAGTTTAAAAATAAATTTCTGGAACCGTACGACACACCCTTTAGCAATCTAACTTGAAATCTAATAGCTAGGGGTAATTGGGACCTCCTTGTCATTATTATAATTTTTTTCTAACCATTTAGGTTTGGCTACACGAATTTTAGTCAGCCATTTTGCTCTATCAAGGGTCATACCTTCAGTGAAGCCATAAGTCATCGTATCTTTTCTCACTACTTCCAACCATCTCTTTTTGGCCCTACCCCTTATCCGAACCAACTCGCACCTCCAACTGTGACCTGCTTGTAATAAAGATAATGGTCTCATAGTATATAATCTTTAAAATTTATGGGGTATTTTGGTTATTTTTTTTAACACGTCTTTATATGTTATACAGTTACATGAGGGTGAGAAGTGCAGATGCCTAATATTTTAACTCAACCTTATATAGGTTGAAAACCATGGCATACTTTGACATGCTTTCAACCGTCTACTTTTGCATGGATTTATAACCTCATTATTTTTTCATTTTTACGTGCTCTAGGCCATCTAATTTGTAAGACCAATTGTGAACAAGCAATGATTTTAAAATCTCATTCATTTAAAAGTAGATTTAGGTGGACTGGTCAAGTGCAATGTAGACCTGATACAATACTAAGGTAGGGGCTGATTTGGTTTAAGGAGAAAGCTCTATAAAGGAAAATAGAATGCCTAAAAGGATATGGATGGAAGTAGTGATAAGAGATATAATGACTTATAGTTTAACTAAAGGTATGACACTTGATGGAACAAAATGGTGGCACACGATTCATGTAGCAGACCCCAAAATAGTTGGGATAAAGCTTGGATGATGATGATTTATTTAACAAATATCACGCTCTTATGATGATAATTTCAATCAATGAGTTTAACAGACTAATTTCCACTCCCCCATCAATATAAACTTCATTGAACAATTATAACTTATTATTTTCTAGGTCTCTCGATTTCCGAAACTCCATGTTAAGTCATGACATATTTTTAGGCTTCCTAGAACTTTCAGTTAGGTATTTAAATACAACAATTTTCAGTTCCATACAAAAAAATTTGCGATCTTAGAACTCTAGAGCCATCCTATTTCCATAAATCTTCCAGTTTGTAATTCTATATGGTTGGCAACGGGTTTGATCAGGCCAGACCGGGGCCCGACCTAGGCACAAAAATATAGTGTCGGACTCAGATCCAGACTGGATCGAACTCGACCCAAAAAATTAAATCTATATGCATTTAACTATATCTATATATATTTTATATATCGAGACCCAAAAAATATTACCGAACCCAAACCAAAATAGTATTCGGTTCCAAGATTAGGGCTCAGTCAAGACCCGCCGAGTCCAATTTTTGGACCCATAGACGGCTACGGATCGGGTCTACCCCTCATTTTCACCCCTATAGCTATCGAAAAGGAGCTTGGCCGAAATTTAGGAAGAGTGATAGAACCGAAATTAAAACTTGAATGGAGGGCCTTCGAAGAAATATTTATCCGACAAAGTGGATCCAAAACGGGACAAGTGTTGGACAAGAACCGTAGTAAAAAGGATAATGATGAGGGTAGATTCGTAATTATTCAGTTTTTTATGATATCAAAAATAGGAAAATAATGTCAAAAATTTTGTTTTTACGTGGACACTTATGATTTGATGGGGAGCTTTTTTTCAGATCACCGCATTTAATGCCCCTTCTCTATTTCTCTCTCTAGTCTTGTCACTCTACAGTGAGCTCACTGATTGGCCACCTTTTTCTCTCTTTTCTTTTTTCAAAACAATAGTTTTAAATTCTCACTCTAAACTTTATTTTCAAAAAATCGGTTCTCTCTCTCTAAAACCTCCCTTCTGGTGTGGTGCATCAAGTAACACGTGTGAGGCAACTGTAGAGAAAGAAAGACCCTAGAGAGAGAAAGAAGAGAGAGAGTAAAATGATGAAGTAAGATACTTACTACGTGGTTGCCTGGCTGGCGATTTCTCATATGTAAAGCATCTGGTTCTAGAGATAGAGAGAGAGAGAAAGACAGGTCTCGTGTACTTTTAGAAAGAGAAAGGGCTGCGTACTTTTAGAGAGAGAAAGTAAGAAAGAGAGGACTTTTTATTGCACCCCTAACGAGCAAAAATTCAGCGTTTTAGAGACTAGGCATTACGCATAGTGATAATGCAGGCCATGAGCTTTTGAATTCGTTCTTCGTTTTAGAGAGAGAAAGAGAGTGGATTTAGTGATATTGACTTGGTCATTTGCTGCTGCTTTCAACCTCGTTACACTGTGGATAGAGTGAAAAGAGAGATTTTATTGATAGTTCAAGCATTTAGAGAGAGAAAGATAGCTAGAGAGAGAGAGAGACTTTACAGTATGGCGTCCTGATTTGGGTTTCTGGTCGTCGGTTATTCCTTCTTTTTTCTTCTAGCTGGATACAGCGAACGTGGGAGACAAACCCATTTTGCTCTTGAGAGAGAGACGTGGCAGAGAGAGAGCAATTCTAGAGAGAGAGAGGGAAGTTGTAGAGAGAGAAAGCGGTGGAATGCACCTTCCAACTGATACAGAGAGGATTGGGTTGTTTCACTTTTTGTTTTAGCTTTTGGTCTCCATTCTGGACTGCCACAATCCCCCACTTTCTCAGTCTTTTTATGCTTCTTCTCCTCCTTAGAGAGAGAGAGTTGTTACATCAGTGAGAGATGGTTTAGAGAGAGAAAGAGAGATACTATGGGTTTTCCCATTCTCGCATTGTCTATTTTTCGGATTTATTGTGGGGTTGCAAGAACCACGCTTATGAGTCCTAAGTAGTCATTCTAGAGTGAGAGAGAGACAAGAAAGAGGTGTAGTTATTCTAGTGAGAGATTTACAGAGAGAGAGAGAGAGAGAGAGGGGCCTCTGAGTTTTCCATAGTTATTCTAGTGAGAGTACTTATTCCCATTTAGCTGCTTACTTTGTTGAGCTCGTGTTCGGAACCTGAATTTCCATGTCTTAACTGTCAATTCTAGAGAGAGAGAGAGAGAGAGAGAGAGACACGACCCACTTTCCCACTTCACTTGGAGCGAGAGAGAGAGTACCCTTTCACCCTCTTGGTTCATCCTGGTCTTTCCTGAGAGAGAGAGAGAGATGGAAAACAGCGGGTGCACCAGCAACCCCAAAACGCAGCAGCTGCCATGGGAGCTATGGGACAACCCAACCAGGTTCGATTGGTCGAACGCCTTCTCCACGCCATCACTCACCTCCACCCACTCTCTCACTACACCCCACTCTCTCTCCTCCCAAAACCAGACCACCCCATCAACACTCAGCGATATCTTTCTCTCTCCTCACCCCTCCCATGAAATCCCACGCCTCCTCCTCAACACCCATGGCCTCCTGAGCCTCGAGACCACGCCTGAACCAGTGAGAATTGGCAACCTTCTCTCTAGCTCTGATTTCTTCAGTGGTTTTAGAGAGAGAAACCAAGGGGACTCTCTCACCTGCCTCAAGTTGGGGAAGAGGCAGTACTATGAGGATGGACGGCTGGGGGCACGCCACGTGGCCTCTTTTCACCAGATGGGGAAGAGAGGGAAAGTTGGTCTTAGTGGGGTTGCTAGGTGCCAAGTTGAGGGTTGTGATGTTGGTCTTGGAGAGGCAAAAGAGTATCACAGGAGACACAAAGTTTGTGAAATGCATTCTAAGGCTCCTAAGGTTGTGGTTCTTGGCCTTGAGCAAAGGTTTTGCCAACAATGTAGCAGGTCACTTCCCCCTCTCTCTCTCTCTCTCTCTCTCTCTCTTGTGTCCTCTATCTTAGTTCCTCACTCTTAGAAATTCATTTGCGTCTCTCTCTTCACTTGCCTCTTTGAAGTTTTGTGATTGGAATTGAAGTCTCTCTCTCTCTCTCTCTACTTTGTTTTCTCTATCTTATTTATTCATCTCTCTCTCTCTCTCCCTCGCTCTTCACTTCATCTGTCTGCTTGAAGTTTAGTAGTTGGAATTTATTTTCTCTTTGATGATTACTCTTAGAAATTCATCTCTTTCTCAGTGTATTTATCACTTTGAAGTTTAGTGTTTTGGAATTCATTTCTCTCTCTTTGAAGGTTACTCTTAGAAATTAATATTCATTTCCTATTTGATTGTTAGACTTTGGAACTAGATACTCTCTTCTGAGGTTATACTTGGGATTTTCTTCTCTCTATCTCTTGTTTTATTAATTTCTCTTTTGATGCTTATTTGTATGTGTTTATGGGTGCATTGATGCTTAGTGCACATGGACCATTGGTTCCTCTTTAGTTTGTACTTTCAAATTTTGTGCATTAGTTCCTGTCCTTTACATTGATGATGATTTACAGTAGCTGTTACATTGCTATAATTGCGACAATTACTATAATTGGCACTATAAACTCACCATCTTTTATCCAACTATAGCCATCACCACCTTTAGGAAATCCCAATATTAGAAAACTCGGCAAGTCGATTATGGTTCCTTGGACTTAGGAGGGACTGGAGGTAAACCCGAGCAATTCAAGTCTGATCGGTTCCCAACATTTTGTTTTTGTTATTGTTATTGTTATTGTTATTGTTATTATTATTATTATTTTGGACTCGGCCCTTAGACTTGGCCGATACTATTTGACCTTACTCGGGCTTGGGACTATAGCAAGTCGTGATCGAAGTCTTTGTTTTTTACACTGGTTTTCAACATTAGCATTGATGTCCCTCCTGACTATCATCATAACTGCATCACCATTATCTTTGACATGATGTATATAAACTGCCCAGGGAAAACAATTCCTGTATTTTTCAGAACTTAAAAGAGTCTTCTTCGAGGAACTGTTGATGTTTGCTTGAAGATTTTATTGGATGCTGCTTTGCTTTTATTTGTCACAGTTACTTCAATTGGATCTTATTCTCGCTTCAGATTGGTGACTAGTTTCATTTGGTTCACATGACCCTAATTGTAGGCCTCATTGAAGAAATTGCTATTCTACTAGAGGTGATCGAAGTTATGTTTCAATCAGCTTTTGTTGGAATTTGTTTCGAATGTTGTGTGTTTAATGTCCTCAGATGAATGCTGCTTTAAAGAATTTCTTTAAACAAGTTTGCTTGAAATACAAATGAAGTTTATGTTTATAATTTTATATGTTTTGATGATTTATTTCTTGTTTGTTTGTATTGTTGTTGCAGGTTTCATGTGGTTTCTGAGTTTGATGAATCTAAGAGGAGTTGCAGGAGGAGGCTAGCAGGACATAACGAGCGCAGGAGGAAGAGTTCTTCCGATTCACTTGGTAGAAGCAGTTCTCAAGGTACTTGGAGCTTTCCTTTTTCTTTTTCTGTTTTGGGGTAATTACTTGAAGCTGGTTTTTATTATCTTATTTCTCTTTCACGGTTCAATCTATCAATCTTTCTTTCTAAGAATTCTAAGATTTTGTAATTGCATTAGTGTATTATGTTTGTTGTTTTTGCTTAAGATTGGGAAAAAGCTTTGACGATGATGATGTTTTTGCTAAGATTGAGGAGAAGAGAGAAATATTTAAGCACAAGAGAGTTAAAATATAGGTCAGCATTCATAGGAGTTGCTGCATAAAAATATCCATATAGTGAAATATTATACACATATGGTGTAGAGTCTAATTTCCAAAGCGTATGGATCCTTGATCAATATGCATTATCGCCACTTGCAGGTTTCCATAATTAGCATGAGGGCCATGCAGGTTTCTTTTATTGGCGTGGGGCCTATAAAAGAGTCACTACTTATTTGTAATCCTAACAAAATTTGAAATAATTAAACATTGAAGGTTAATCTATAGAAGTATCTCAAGTTTGAGAGTTTTTTGCCCTCTATTAGGTAACATTTCATCGTCATCGTCAAAGCCTTTTCCCAACTAATTGGGATTGGCTACATGAATCCTTGTATGATATATCAATTTCGACTTATTGTTTTATACATATAATGTTCTACATAATATTCACTCTCTTTGGGGGATCTATGGTTTAGTGTTCGTGATGCGAGGGCTTAGGCATTTTCCAAGACAAATTCAGTGAAAATTAGGGTTCTTCCTATCTAATTTATGCTTGTAGAACAGGCAGCCTGATCCCATGATTTACATTAATCTCATTGACCCACGATGGCGAGTTCAATATTTTGTGCTAATTTTCATGCAATCTTATTGTGAAGCACAATTATATCATTTTCATATTTGCTTTTTTTTTTGGGGTAAGTGAAAGTGGTGAGTCAGTGGGGGTTTGAGTCCCTACCCTTTGGTGAGAATGGAGTCGAAAACTTCATCATGGAGCTCAACAATACTACCGACAAGGCCCCATACCATTTTCAAAAAAGTGGTATGTCAATTGGGATTTGGGCCCCTACCTCTGGTGAGAATGGAGTCCGAGACCTCACCATGGGGCTCGGCTATACTACCACCAAGGCCCCAGGCCATTCTCTTTTTTCATATTTGCTACACAGTTGCATGGTCATCTTCACTTTTATTATACCGATGTAAACTATTGAATTAATACCAGGTATCCTTAGTCTGATACATATCTGCATTATTATGTAACAGAACATCTACGCATCACAAATCTACCATCCATTATTGTTTCGAATATTTAATTTACCATCTATTGTTGCATTTGGTTATAAAAGTTGTGCTTTGAGTTTCATAATTAAATACATGTGTGAAGTTCCCATTTGTTGGCCTCAAATATGACTTTGTGTTCTTAGAATACGATCTCTCTCATTCCTTCCAATATCTCTGTGCGGTTCTTCTTTTCAACGGCTATGGTAAATAGGTTCATGGATACTGTTACTGGCCATTCATTCCTGAAGTTCACTAGAAGAATTCGTCAGCATTCTACTTTGATGAACATCAACTATAAATTTCAACGTAGGATGTTTGAAATATGCACCAATGGTGTTTTGCTAAAATCCATGTCTGATTAAGTTAGGAGTTAGCCAACTTAATATTCTTCGATTAATATACACCATTCAAATGAAGTTTCATCTATTGGGAGTCTACATCAAGTTTTTATGACATGTAGGTGCTCTTCGTCAAGTTATACTCGATGATTTTCAAGGCTTATATGGATTTTTTTGCACATGATCTAGTCTATCGGAGAGAATTTACCTTCGTTAATAGATCCCTCTACACTTATCTTGTTCTAGGATAATTCCAAATCATTCCTTATAGATGTCGTTATGGATTTGGCGAGTTCTTAGTTGGAGATGTGAGAGTAGGTATTCACATGCCTCTTTTAGTTCAAGTTCATCTTAGTAGTATTAGCCTAACTTACCATCCTATCAGTCATCGATTGTGTAGTATTCAGTGTTAAGAGTTGATTTCTATAAGCCTTGCAAAAATCATGTCATGTAGCACATCTCCATTGACCAGAAAAGGATGTGTCTCTAAATACTTCATTTTAGGAACTCGTTCATTTGTTTTAAAATCTATGTTTCTAGTTCTCCTCTTTCTTTTTGTAGTTGATTTCTTAAAGTTATGTTGAATGAGTTGCAAAAACATGTGGGGATGCCGATAACTATAATGTGATGATGATACCTTGGACATATATGAGTTGGTGTTTTACATCGTATCTGAACATACTTAGAGAGTATGTCAATTTTAGTGTTTTGAATATTTTTGCACCACCGATTCGACCATAATGTCCCAACTCTTTTTCCATCCAATGATGTCGTACATTAGTGTTCTCTAAAACTTGTTGCTCTATTAGAGCCAGGTTGATTTGAAAATGGAAGAAATGTTATACTTCGTACTAACTTTTCACAATGATATCCAACATTTGTAACCCCTGCGTCTCCTCAAATCGTAACTTAGTGGTACATTGTAGAGTTCTTGTATATATCATTATCATTGTTATCATTCGAGCCTTATCCCAACTAATTGGGGACAGCTACATGATTCCTGCTCTACCATTATGCTCTACCAAGGGCCATACCTTCAATCAAACTATAAGTCACCATATCTCTTCTCACTACTTCCAATCATATCCTTTCTCTTCTCACTACTTCCAATCATATCCTTTTTGGCGTTCCCCTTGCCCTTTAGAGCCTTCCACTTCAACCAAATCACCCCTCCTAATTAGTGTTGTTCTAGGTCAATGCTGCACATGGCCGTCTACCTAAGTCTAATTATATAGTTTTTACAAATAGACTACATTAATTCTTTATTCTTTGTTTGATTCCCTTATAATTATGAGGAACTTGTAATAATTTATTTTCTTTCTCTTTAACTTTTTAAATATTAGTGGGGTAGGAAGAAACCGAAGATGTCATGTTGTGACACCTAGTCGCCTAGACCACCCAAGCCCTAGGTCCATTCCTGGGAACTTGTCATCATTTATTTGTTACTAAGGTTGCAAATTCCAAAAAAATATGACAGGCCAGCTTCCTTCCATACTGATTACTCTATTCATGTTAAACATTCCCCGTGATATCTGAGTTGAATTATTGGCACTACACCATCCTTATCATACTATCATCTCATATGTGTAGTTTTCATATGTTATTGCAACATCTTCATGGTTACGTATTTGCAGTGCATAGTAGGCTTCTTGCAACATTTACTGATTCAAGTTTTATTTTGGGATACTTTCTTACGACACGTATGGTTTATGTTTCTTTATTAAGAAATTCTATAACATACCATGCATTAGCCGTAAGGACATTTATCTCCCATTATTGTGGAATTGGATCATGTCATCGAATAATTAATCAATGAATGAAACTTTGTGTTTGTTCTTTACTCAACAACTTAAATTTTCTTTGAAGGTCTTAAAATTTGAGTTGTTTTCTTTCCAGACTTGCATCCTCTATTTTGCAATAGAGGAATGAGCACCTATCTCTTTCTCACTTGTAATCTCTTTGTGCTTACTATGCCACATGACCCATCCATGCAACTATTCACACGCTCCTTGTTTTGATATTCTTATACCCATGTGTTGGGTGGTGCACTTGCTATTGACCATTCAGTTCGGCCCAGATTTGAGTTGACATAAAGGGCTGGATATTGGAAGTTCCTGATATGTCCTAAAATGGATTGCAAATTATGAAATCTTGTGTATTTAGCATTTCGTGCAATATTTTAAGCATACTTTTGGGTAAAACGTCTGTTTTCACTCAATACCATTGATATCTTTTTGACTGGAAATCATACAAATGCACATTTACATGCAGACACATTTTCTGTCCCAAATAAACACACGTCTACTACTACACATGTTCTCCAAATTTCCATAGAAAACAGTCTAAAATATACTCTATATGATGGATGCATAGATACATGGATGTCTTCGTACATACATGCATACTTAGGATGCATATGTATGTATGCGGATGTGCCCATACATATATGTATTTTGGGCTCATATCATCTTTTGCATGAATATGTATGTATGTTTATCCTCATTCTTTGCTGATTTATGGGCATGATTCGCACATATTTGGGATTCGCGTACTCTGTACATAGTTTGCATGCATTGCAGACATTATTGCCTGGTCGGATCTTCCACTGAAATCGGTTGAAGCTTTCCTTGTCCAAAGTGTCCTGGTAAAATTCGAGTAGTTCAGTAACATTCTTCTTAGGGTATTCTTAAATTGAGTATCCCTGTCATATGTAATTCTTGATTTTCTGCATATGTTTAGCTCATGAAGCGTATACCTGAATATGGCAAACAAGAGTCAAATGTATTTTTTCCCCCCTGCCACACTTGTAAATAAATCCGTCAATTCTTCCACAATTTTCTCTCCTTTAAGTACTTGAATTGCAATTTACCCCAAGGATTGCTGCTGAATCATTGTCTCTCAACTATCCTTTTCTATGTGATCTAAGAGTACATTGATCCCTTGTTTTTGTAACTTACATAAATGTGTATGTGGATTCTTGGTTGGTTGCATAATTTGCACTCCAGGGTGATGTTTTCTTGCCTAGTGAAGAGGTAAAAATGGTTGTTATAAGCAAAGTTTCTCTAGATTCATGATAAGTTTTGGCAAAATTTGACGTTGGCTGCGTACTTTAATACATCCAAGCCTTTTTACCCGGGTATGAGATGGGTCATGGGAAATTTTAAGTTCCTCACCCTTCTTAGACCTTCAAATGTTTAGGAAAATATGGTCGGATAGAGAACCATAGTATATGTTAGTATTACTTGTAATTTATTATTATTGATTTCCTTGGGTTCATAAACTGCTGGTCTCTCCGGGAAATCTGTGTGTGCGCTCACGTGCATGCACGTGTGTGCACGTCGGCTGCATGTTCATGTGTATGATTTAATTCCAATGTGCACTTGTGATTTCCCTCTCTTTGCCATATTTCATATTCTGTCTCTTACCAGTTGTCCAAAACCCCTTGTGCTCATCAGAAAACAAGATCATGGGTGGCAGATTCGGCTTACCGTGCCTAAGCTTGCCGGAAAGCCGTGCTCTCTCTCTTCTGTCATCCTCTGACCTCTCCTCATCCTCTAGTGCCGCTCTCCGTGAGCTCATTGCCGAGAACCGGGCCAACACCTTAGCAAAGCAGCTCATGCACAGCACCACCACCACTGAACCCATTTGCGGCGGTGCTGGGTCCTTTCTCATCCAGTCCAGCTTAGAACCTCATGGTTCGTGTAGGCTTGTGCCTGGATTGACTGGGCTGGGACCAGGGTCTGAATGTGGTCGGTTGGGTCCCATGAGACCCACCCTTGACCTCATGCAACTGCCTCATGATCCCTCTGCTTCTTTTCACAAGCAACATGGTAATGAGAATAATAGTAACAGTGCAAGGGAGGATGAAGAGTGTGAGATATGGAAGTCTTTGGAGGGAACCCACGTTGTGTAAGATTGCTTAGGGTAGGCCATGGGGATCAAGTTTTTGGGTTTTCATTGTGAAATTTGGGAATTGTTTTTGTGGAAATCAATATGGGAAATAAGGTAATTCTGTTAAAGTTTGATTTCTCAGAATCTGGGCAATTGACTGTTCTCTCTCTCTCACACACACTGTGGTTACACTCTCTCTCTCTAGTTACATGGTTCTTTTCCATGCATGTCTCTTTGTCTGCTTCTCATTCCCCTCGTCCTATTTTTATATGGAGTTTTAGTTTTTAAAACCCAATGATCTGGATTGGGAATTGCCAGTAAGTTCTGAAAACCCAATGATCTGGATTGAGAATCGCGAATGAGTTCTAGAAAGGTACTAGTACCGGCTTTTCCCCCACAAATTTTGTATGGAGTTGTAGTGTTTTAAAACCCAATGATCTGGATTGGGAAGTGCCAGTAAGTTCTGAAAACCCAATGATCTGGATTGAGAATCGCGAATGAGTTTTAGAAAGGTACTAGGACCGACTTTTGCCCCACAAAATCCTCTCATCTTATTTTTCCTTTTGCTTTTTTAAGTTCACCTCATGTTTTATGAGGTACATATGAATCCCTCTAAAATCAATTTTTTTTTTTTACATATTTTTTAATCTTTGTGTTCTAGTAGCATGTGTTTTATGTTTTATTTATTGTATTATAGCTTACAATCTTGTTTACTTTATTTCTCGCTGCATATTTTTGGTAAGGTCAAACTTTTTAGGATTCCTGTTTCTACATCTTAAGATGGCACTTAAATCTTAACACAAGAAATATCTTAAAAAGATTATTTTTGATATCTTAAGTTGATAATCCATACAAAAGGAGAGATTGGGAAAGATGTTGCTCATAAAATTTGAGTTGGAGGACAAAATGGAGATGTGCTTCTAGAGGCTTGTATGAATCGACGTATGCCATTGAAACTTAAGAGGAAGTTCTATAAGATGTTTAGAAGGCTAGCCGTGCTTTATTAAACATAATGATGATGAGTAGTAGAAACAACTAGCATATTTATAAATGATGAAGTTTACATATGGATGATGCTCTAAACTATCAAACTAAGGCACACCTTAAAAATTCATTAGAAGAGGTGGTTTTAATGCTAAAAAACCTTAAATTCAATCATCTCGACTTCATGATTTATGGACATGAGAAAAAGTGGATTTCAATTTTTGGAAATAATGCATCTTGTAATATATTACCTAGATCAACAATTTTTAAGATTTTTAAGTATTCATAGATTTGTTTGCTCTACATGATTTTCGAATCTTTAAATTCTATTATTAGAGGTGAAAATAAATTGTTAGGTCATTATAAAGATTTTTTTATACTGAAACATCATAATTTGATAGTATTTGAAGGTGTACCTTACTTGATTGGTTAGGGTCTCGGCTTTATACAAACCACACTCATCTATAAGAGGAGTATAGTTGAGATGATGATTTTGAGATAGATGAGTGGCAAAACACCGAAGGATTGAATATATTTGAAGGAAAATAGACAATAAAATGAAGGGAAGTAGACTTGGGTGATCGAATCGTGTCCAACGTTAACTTAGAACAACGCTAAATAAGAAAGTTGATTTGGTTCAAGTGAAAGGTTCTGCAAGAGCAAGGAGAATACTTCAAATGATATGGATGAAATACTCAGAAATGATATGGTGATTTATGGTTTGAATTAGGGTATGACCATTGATAGAGCGGAATGACAGTGAAGATTCATTCTGGACTCAAATAGTTAGGATAAGGCTAGGATACGATAATGATGATGAGTTACAAAATTCAAAGCTTTGAAAATGCTGACCATGTGTGAATTTATTAACACTTCAAAGAAACTCATCATCATCATTATTTCAGCACTATCCCAACTAGTTAGGGTCGGCTACACAAATCCTGTTTCGACGTTATGCTCTATCTGAGGCTATACTCTAAATCAGACCATAAGTTACCATATCTCTTCTTACTATTTTTATGCTTGTCCTTTTTGACATTCCCTATACCATTTTAGAGCCCTCCATGTTGACTAAATCGCCCCTCCTAACTGGTATTGTATCATGTTTACGTTATGTAGGATGTACTATTTTTAATGCTTGAAATATGTTTTTTTCATATCCATGCATCTTGATGTTGAAAGGATCAATTGAAGGATTTTCCGCTTAAACAACCTTTCTCAATGGGTTTTTGAGGTACATCTTTCTTATAATAAAAGGTGAACACATTATTTATACTTTTTCTTTAATAAAATACTCTTTTTCTTGTATGGAATCGATATAAGTAAAGGCTATTTGTTACGACAAAATGGTATTTGAAGTCCAAAGTTTGGGATTACTAACTAGGGACATTCAATTTTTTTTCAAATAAAGTTGGCAACCTTGAAAATTATTTATATCGAAGATAAAAGCAATTGAAGTTAAAAAAAAAAAAAACAAAGAAAAAAAGAGCTACATGAAATTGCTGAGTTTATGTGGCCTTTAAAGGCCTTATGAGTGTGTAATGAAAACCATTTACAATAGTGGAACATAAACTCCGTAGGAGTGTGGTCCCTCGAAGACCATACTAAGCAAATGATATTTACGGATAACGGACTGTGCTTGACGATCTAGGCCAATCGATTGGAAAACCCAAGGTACCTGGGCATAAAAAATAAATCGAGAAGGATTTTTGGGTTAGCCCTTGATGAGGTCGGAGCTTATACTTAGATGAATGAGCCGAGGGACTGTGTGACCCTTGTGTGTGATGGTAGGCCTATAGAGATGGGGGCCAAAACCTCATCCTTGTTCCATCACACGGTATGCATATAGATAGATCGTTCGGAAAAGCTAGATATCCACCTTTGGGTGAAGCATATGCGTACCCCTATACGCCATGGAGCTATAGTCGCATCAGGTCGTGGTGACCTTGACTTGTCTCTAGGGGAGGACCTGTAATTCACAGACTGGGATTGCAACTTCTTGGCTCATCAACCAGACTTTCGTGACCCGCTAATAAGCCCTTGCTTGGACTGTGGGTCATGAAAAGCACTCGGTCGGGTCGATAAAGCAAGTGTGGTTTGTAGTCCACCGTTGAAGGTGGAGTACCCCGTGATCGTTGATTGAATTCCTGAACCATATGGATCCACTTCCCATCATGTTAATTTAATTGTGTTGATTTTATTATTAAATTATTTTAGATTTATTATTTGAATTTTTGTAAGTCATTTGATATTTTATTTTTTTATTTTTGGACTTATAAAAATGAAGTTATTAATTTACAAAGTTATAATGTTTTAAAATTCATTTTATTTAAATTTTAAAATAATTATTTTAAAAAAAACATGGGGCCTATAGTGCACATGGGCCCACCATGTGGGTATTAGGTGGGGCCCTATATGCCATACTTGGGTGGCACGCCCCACCCTTGGATACCTTATCTTATTGCTTTGTCTTCAAGTTTGTTAAATATGGTTAGCATGTGTCAAATATTGATTAGGAAATATTGACCATATCTTATCTTGATTATTGAAGAAATAACTTGACTTGAAGATATGGGATGGAATATGCAATTTATGGTATGTACTATATATTTAATGGATTTAATTTATTTAAACATATTGATGGGAAAATGGTTTAAGGAAAGGGGGATAATGGTTCATCCACCTTACATAATGTTAATGACCCATCTATAGAATGGATGACTTAGATCTCTCACCCTACAAATCACCTTGATCAACGGTCCATATCCAATCTCAATAAAGAGGCAAAATATGGTAAACCCTAAAAAAACCCTAGACCTAAATTTCACTATAAATAGGGGTGCTCTCCCCCCATCTCAATACACCTCTCTCTCCCACAAACTCTCTCTCTATCTTCCCTAAGGGCCACGCCCCTCTCTCCCTACTCTCTTATTTTCTCTCTCTACTCTCTCTCTCCTAAAAAAGACTCTAGGGGGCACACCCAACATAAAGATTCTCTCTCTCTCTCTCGTGATCTAATCTAAGGGTTGGGAAAATTAGGGTTTGAGCCTAATTATTTTGGAGTTAGGATTTTGTATAGATTTAAGGGTGGTTACCTAGTTTGGCCGAAATTAGCTTTTTCGGTTCGAAATTGAAGCTGGATCGCTGATCCCGTGCTATTGGATGTGGTGACTCGGTATGGGGTGTAAAAAGCCCGGTTGAGGTAATCTCCGGCATCTTTTCTTTTAATTGTTTGTTCTTTTATTTTATATTCTCAAGCATAGTATTATGTTGTATGAATGGCATAAAGTAGTTGAGATTTATTTTATTGATGTGTTATTTATTTTTGAAATTTCTATTGTTTGTAATAAGACCACTTGTGAGTGATCTTGTTGCTAAAATTATAAGGGGTGATTATTATTAAAAAAAAAGAAGAAAAATAAAATTATATTTCCCCGGCATAGGATTACATAGGTCTTTCTTTCATTGGTATCAGAGCTAGTTTTACTTGATTGCCATTAAGAGTATTTTCTTATTTTTTTGAGAATATAAAATAATGGTTGCTCGTACCTTCATTTCTGACATCCTGAAAAACGAAAGGTTTGATGGGACCAACTTTGCTTCATGGAAAAGAAAAATCAAATTTATGCTGTATGAAGAAAACTTGCATGAGATACTCTTTGAGGACCGACCTCATCGTCCAACAGACGACTCATCTCAAATAATCAAAGATGAGTACGCCAACTGGAAGTGGAGGAACTTGAGATGCAAACACCTTCTTTTATGTACCATGACTGACTCGTATGCTTCTGAGCAGGAGTCAATCTATACTGTAAGTGAGATTTTAGATAAACTTGAATGAGAATATGTTGAACCCTCTCTTATGAAGCAAACTATGGCTATGAGAATGTATAATGATTTAAAAATAGTAGAAGGTACCAAGTTTGCATATCATGTGCACGTATTTCGTGCGCTAGTAAGAGATTTGGAAAATACAGGCATAAAGCCTAATGAATCTATACAAGTGATTCATTTAATGAATTCTCTTCCTATTTTATGGGAATCTTTCATGTCTTCCATCTCTGCTAGAAGAAATGCACCAAATTTGGAGGAACTCATCTTGACCATCAAATCTGAAGAATAAAGGAGGAGTTCTAGACAAACCCCAAGGGATGCTG